CAAAAGGAAGACCTTTCTCTCTGTCTCTCTCTCTCACTGTCCACTCTGCCTGTCAAAAAAAAAAAAAAAAAAAAGAAAATGAATCTTGATGTGAATGGAAGGGGAGAGGGAGTGGGAAAGGGGAGGGTGGTGGGTGGGAGGGACGGTATGGGGGGGAAAGCCATTGTAACCCATGAGACGTACTTTGGAAATTTATATTCATTAAATAAAAGATAAAAAAAAAATTCTGTTTCCCTTACTGTGAGGTTTTTTTTTTTTTTTATACTATGTCCGTGTTAAGTGGACTGCCTGCTGTTGGAGGAGCCTTGGAGGCTTGAGATGGGTGTGGCCTGAGAGCTCTGCTTGGTCATTCAGGGTTACAGGTGTGCAAAGGTGACACCCTCAGGTTATGCGTGGTAAATCTCTCTTTATTTATTCATTTATTTTATTTTATTTTATTTTATTTTATTTTTTGTTCAGGAGGTAAGTAATACTGCAAGGCTGAGTAGAATGGATGGTATTTAGGTTCCACTGGCTTCTACCCAAAGAGTCTGTGCAGGCTCCGTTTCTACTGCAGACTCCCACTGGGTTGCCTAGGCTACTGAATTGTAGGCTTAACTCTCCCCTTTTATTATGTATATCCCAGCTCTTTGTCTCTTGCTCACCTTTGCAAGGTTGGCGGAGAGTGGAACTTGTCTGTACCAGTATGCCCCCACCTATTTATTTATTTATTTATTTATTTTTCCTTCTCTCCTGTAGTCTGTTGGACTTTCCCGCTTCAAAACCCGCGTCCCTCTAAAATTCTGTCTGCCGTTTCCCCGCCAATGTCTCCGGTTACTGAGCTCACCTCTGCTTCCAGTGCCGATGTGTGGACTCGGAGCCCTTAGCGTCACTCCTCTCCCCGCTGGTGTCTTTGTCACATAGACTCCCCTTCCCACACTGGTGCTCAGACTCTGGGGCTCCTGTGGTTCGGCTTCCGCGTGGTGGGTGACCCTGCTCTCCCAGTAGGTCCTTTGGGTCACAGCGAATAGCTCCGGAAGAGTTTCCTCTGCAATTTTTTCCTGATCCTTTTTCTGAGGCTACCGTAACTCTGCTTTTATTAAACTAAATTTTCCCGGACTACCGGTGCGTGCCCTCACTATTCTGCCATCTTGGCTCCGCCCCCCATGATTTTAACTTTTAACTTGCTGAAATCCTCTTCCCCATTCCCAACTGCTAGCCATTACTCTATACTTTACCTCTATGAACTAGGCTTCTTTAGGTTCTATGTATTAATGAGGTTATTCTGTATTTGTCTTTCTGGCCTGGCTTTTTCATTTAATATATTTTCCAGTTCCATGAATGTTGTCACAATGACAAGATTTATCTTTTTAATTGTTGAATAGCAGCCCTTTGTGTACATATACACCAAATTTCCTTTATTCACTATTGATAGATATTTAGTTTGATTCTGTATCTTGGCTCTTGTCTTACAATAAACATAAGAATGTGAAAACCTCAACATAATGATTTCAATTTCCTTCAGTATAAAAGTAGTCATGGGATTGCTGATCCTATGGTAGTTCTATTTTTAATGTTTTCAGAAACCTACAAAATGCTTTTCATAATGGCTATATTGATTTACATTCCCACATAGAGTGTTTATGGGATCACTTTTCTCCACATCCTTGCCAGCACCTGTTAACTTTCGCCTTTTGAATAATAAACATTCCAGCCAGGGTGATATGGTATCTCAATGTTTTCTTGATTTGAATTTCCCCAATGATTAGTAATGCTGAATGCTTTTCAAAATACCAGTTTGTCATTCATGTCATGTTTTGTGAAATGTTCATTCAGGTCTTCTGTATATTTTTAAATGAGATTATTTGCTTTATTTTTTTTTAAAGGAAAGTCAGGCAGTGAAACACAACCAGTCAGAGAGAACCTGCATTTGCTGATCTACTCCCCAAATGCCTGTTATGACCATGGTTGAGCCAGCATGAAGCTGGGAGCCAGGAACTTCATCTGGTCTTCCCACATGAGCACCAGGGACTCAATTACTTAAGCCATCACCTTCTGCCTCCTAGGGTATGCATCAGCAAGCTGGATTTAGAACAGAGCTGTAACTTGAAATCAGGCATTGTGATATGGCATGACAGTATCCTAACCAGTGGCTTAAATGCTAGGTATTTTTGCTCTTGAGGTGTTTGAGTTCTTATATACTCTGGACATTATTAACATTATCAGATGTAGAGTTTGTAAATATTTCCACCATTCTGTAGATTATCTGTTCACTCTGTTAATTGTTTTCTTTGCTATGCAGAAACTTTTTAAGTTCAACATAATCCCATTTGTCTATTTTTGCTTTCCTTGCTTGTGCTTTCCATCATGTCCAAAATATCAAGAAAGGTTTCTCCTGTTTTCTTTTGATAGTTTCATAGTTTTAGGTCTTACACTTAAATTTTCAATCAATTTTGAATTAATTTTTGTAAATTGAGAAAGATTGAGTCTTCTGCATGTGCATATTCAGTTTTCTCAGCATCATCTTTTGAGAGACTGTCCTTTCATTAATGTCTGGTCTGCTCATGTTGTCAAAAATCTTCTGGCTGTAGATGTATGGCCTTATTTCTAGACCTTAAAACACAGTACCTCACTATAGCATCTGTAGGTATATTACCATGTTTTTGAGATTATTTTTGATAAAAGGAAATAGCACATAGGATGCTTCTTTCTCTTGGTGTTTGCCATCCTTAATTAGGAGACAGCAAGTGCTTTGACAACTTAGGTTTCCTGTGCATGAGACTCTATTAGAGTCTCTACCGGGCCATGGGAGGAAAGAATCCCACTGAAGCAAGGAGGAGATAGCAAAAGGCAGAGATAATGGGAGCACTCAACACAGAAGAATGGAGCTAAGAGACCCAGTCTGTGTTCCTCACCCTCGGGAATTCTGCCATTATGTGAAGCTGTTGCCTCAAACCCAAACCTTCCATCACATTGGATACAGCCTCTGCCTCAGGCCTACAGTTCCTGAAATAGGAATAGAGAAGATACAAAAGGGTGGACAGAGATGGGTGAAAATAGAGAGTTGATGGAGAGACATGAGAATAAGAAAATTAGATGGGGTAAAAGGTATTTGTACCTAGAAACTGCAATTTAGTTAGCAATAAATTAAACCAGAAAGTGCTTTCACATTGTGTGTAGGTTCAACAGTAAATGACTAAGTTTAAATCTTTTTTTTTTTCAGATTTTTCATATATTTGAAAGGCAGTGTTACAGAGAGAGCACGAGGGACAGAGGGAGGGAAAGATCTTCCATCTGCTAGTTCACTCCTCAAATGGCTAGAAAGCCAGAGCTGCACCAGGCTGAAGCTAGGGGCCTGGATCTTCTCTCAGGTCTCCCTTGTGGAGGCAGTGCCCAAGTACTTGGGCCATCGCCACTGCTTTCCTAGGTACATTATCAGGAAGCTGGATCAAAAGTGGAGCAGCAGGGTCTTGAACCAATACCCATTTGGAATACTGATGTCAGAGGTGGAGATTTAACCAGCAATGCCACAACACCAATCCTTTAGCTTAGATCCTGAGTCATTAAAGTTTTTCACAGAAGGAACATATTCATTAAAACATAGAAAGCTTGATTTGTATGAATAACAGATAACAACCTTTCAAGTAAGTTATTTAGATGTGAACTAAATGTCAATCAGTCATGTATTTTTAAATTCTATAGCTCTCCTTCACATGCAGCAGCATCCTTTGGTGGAGTTATCAATGAAATGTGAGAAATAAATGAATACATAGTTATATTAATAGATAATTACATGAGGAACAGTTTTTTCAACTATTTGTTGTACTCTTTACTTAATAGTTAATCATATGTGTATAAAGTTAATTGAAAATAGATCTTAGTAAAAAATAAGAGTTGAATAAGAGAGAGAGGAGGAAGAGCAGTGGAAGAGTAGGTGTGCAGGTGGATACAGTGGGAAGAATTGTGATGTTCAAGCCAGCATTGTGGCTCAATAGGCTAATCCTCCACCTAGTGGCGCTGGCATACCGGGTTCTAGTCCTGGTCGGGGCGCCGAATTCTGTCCTGGTTGCCCCTCTTCCAGGCCAGCTCCCTGCTGTGGCCCAGGAGTGCAGTGGAGGATGGCCCAAGTGCTTGGGCCCTGCACCCCATGGAAGACCAGGATAAGCACCTGGCTCCTGCCTTCGGATCAGCGTGGTGCACTGACTGCAGCGCACCAGCCGCAGCAGCCATTGGAGGGTGAACCAATGGCAAAGGAAGACCTTTCTCTCTGTCTCTCTCACTGTCCACTCTGCCTGTTAAAAAAAAAAGAATTACGATGTTCATGAAGGTTTCATTATGATATGTATGAAGCTTGTATTCCTTAAATAAAAGGATGGATAAGATATATAACTTATACATATATACATACACACATCCATTGATTGTGGACTCACACACATACACAGAAAGGTGGAGACTGATATTCATGAAATTCACAGTCAGGAGAAACCATGACAATAGAGAGTAAGACCTTCACACTGGAACATCTGTAGGTAAATTTCTCTTTCAAATATTGTACTGGATAAAAGAAAAATAGATTATGGAGGGTTGCTTCTTCCTGTTGGTGTATTATCACCATTAGTAACAGGAAAACACTTAGGAAACTCAATGTTTTGTGTATCAGATTTTAATAAAGTGAGCCAAGCGTAGGGTGTCTACCTTCTCATTGTCTGGCACCACTGCTTAAGTGCTTACATTACAAAAGACAGATATCAAATAAATAATCTAATGATGAATCTTAAGCACTTAAGAATAAACAAAATCTCAAATAAAAAAGGTGAGAAATATTAAGATTCAGAGCAGAAATAAACAAAGTGGAAAAAAAGAAATCAATGATATGGAAACTAAAGAAAATACAAAAGATCAACAAAAATAAAAGCTGGTGTTTTGAAAAGATAAACAAGATATATAAACTTTTAAGACCAAAATTTAAACCTAGAAAGTTATAAGGTATCTGACTAATGTGTTTTTAAATCCAACAGGACTTCAATATATGAATATGGATCACTACATGTTGATGGAGCTACAAGTGAAGTGTGAGATATATATATTTATATATATATAAATAAAATATATCAAGATATATACATAAAATATATACATTTATACATATATTCAAGCATTCATATATACATATTAAACAGAGAGATGAAGATTTGGGAAGTTCGTAGTCAGAAACATACATGGCATACAGCATCTTTGACACTGTTTCTAACTAGTCTCTCTGTAGCCTATGTAGGTACCTTTCTTTTGGTTTGTATTGGATAAGAGAGAAAAATGTTACAAGATCAATGTTTCCTCTTCCTTGTGTTATTTATACCCTGGGCAATCACTAGCCAAACTCTCAGAATATCTTCAGAATCCTCTGTATGAGACCTTATTGGATTGGGTGGAAAGAGGAGAGACATATTTAGAGCAAGAGGGAGGAAGCAGTGGACAAGGAACAGATAAATCAGATAAATTCAGCAGAAAGGGGAGGAGGTAATGGAACCTGGATGTTTCCTGTATCCTCCAGTTCTCTGCTACCTAGTAAGGCAGGTACCCTGAAGCTAAAAATAACAGCATATTGGAGGGAACCCTGACTCATGCTACCAGCTACTAGACCCTGTCTAAAGGGAAGCAAGATCACCTTGATGAATTAAAGGAGTGAAGGAGGGTCTTAGGAAGCAGGGCTTTAGGTGCAATAAGCATCCTAAAGTTGAATTTCAAATAAATCCCATCAGAAAAGGTTTTTACACATCGCGTCACATTCAGTGATAAGAAACTGCACTTTAATACTGAACCATTACATTTTTGACAGGACTAAAGTACTTACCACAATGATAGAAATAATCATTTTTAAGGAACATGGCATATTCTATTCAAAACAACTGATTTGTATATGAAGTATTTAAGGGTCAACCAGTTTGTAAGCTGAAGAGTTATTGAAACCGTTTTGAAGTAAAGCAGCAAGTTTAGCAAGTTGCATGGGGTCTTACTATGTACCTTTTTAATCCTCTAGTACTGCCCAGTCAGACTTGAAAACATCCCCAAGTGAACGCATCAGTGTAAGGTAATAAGACATAAATGATTTGTGGTGTGTGGGGTGGGGGGTGGAATTTGGGATAGTCACTGTCAGGAGCGCACCCATGAGAATACTTAGTTCCTTCCATGCCATTCCTAATGGTCCTTTCATGGGAAGCTTCGGTATGTAATACTCTTTGTTTTGAATCATCATAGAAAGAAGAAGCATAGTTTGAAAAAGGATTCTTCTTACTCTTACTGTTTACTTCACTTACTTCTCTTGTTACTTACTGCTTACTTCACCCTGAGTTTGTAGCAGCCAAACCTTTAGGAAAGTATCAGAATGTCTGTATGACACTATTAGAGCAGGCCAACGCTGCAGAGAAAGCCATCGGGATGGACCAAGGAAGTGGCAATGACAGCAGCTGAGGTGCCCTCAGCAGAAAAGAATAAAGCTAATGCATCCTGGATGTATCCTTCACTCTCCAGAGCTGTGCCACCATGTGAGGCTGGTGCCTACCCACAAAAAATGGAGCTGCCACCTCAGGTCTGCTTGACCTTACCTGAGAGGCTATAGAGACAATGTGATTCATGGAGATTGAGATGGTGAATGTACTTGAGAGTCATGAAATTGGATGGGGCAAGAGAAATAGGTATCTGCAAACTCAGGGTGAATTTTACTTTTTGACATATCTATGGTTTACTTTTTAAATTGATTTTTTTAAAAGTCAACCAGTTTCTAAGTTAATGAGTAATTGTAACTAATTGAACCAAGATAAAATCTAGGAAATTATGTTGTATCTGATATACATATTTTTAATCCTTCAGCACTCCATTAAGTCAGTCAACAGTAATATCTGTTGATGAAGACGTCGATGAAACGTGAGCTCTATATAAACAAATATATATTTGATTATGTAAACCAATACACATATAAATAGACACACACTCATACACATGTATACCCAGAGAGATGGAGATTTGATAATTTCATTGTCAGCAGCATCAGTGACAATACAGCATGTCTTTGACATATTTTTCTAAAGTCTCCTTTTATCTGTAGGTAGCTTTTATGTTTATTATTTTTCAGCTTGAAAATTTAATAATTTTTAGTATTTTGCCACATTTACTTCATATGTGGAGATTATATACATATATATTATTTGTTCTTCTAAATTGTTTTATTTAAAGAGTTACAGAGAGAGAGAGAGAGAGAGAGAGAGAGAGAGAGACAGAGAGAGAAGACTTCCATTCACTGGTTTACTCCCCAAATGGTCACATCTGCCAGTGCCGAGCTGATCTTAAGCTAGGAGCCTGGAGCACAAGTACTTGGGCCATATTCAGATGCTTTCCCAGGCACATTGGCAGTGAACTTGATTGGAAGTCAAGTAGCCAGGACTTGAACTGGTCCCCATATGGGATGCTGGAGCTGCAGGCCGGGGCTTTAACCTGCTGTGCCACAGCCCAGCCTCTACTATTTTTTCTTGAAAACAGATTAATATGAGAAAGTGAGGACTCATGATCATAATCATAATGTGAAAAAAGGACATATTGTCATGTATATGGTATGAATCAGTGAAACAATTATTTATAATTGTAATTGTAATGTAATTGTAATTGTAATGGCCAAATGATATGCCAGCCATGCAATTTTTATACTCTCCCATAATATTAACTTCTGCAAGTAAAACATGTGATATTTGTTTTTCATTGTCTGCTTTACTTTTTTTTAAAGATTCATTTTATTTATTTGAAAGACAGAGTTACAGAGAGAGGTAGAGACAGAGAGGTTGGTCTTCCATCCACTGGTTCACTCCCCAGATGGCCACAAAGGCCAGAGCTGTGCTGATCTGAAGCCAGAAGCCAGGAGCTTCTTCCGGGTCTCCCACATAGGTGCATGGGCCCAAGGTCTTGGGCCATCTTGTACTGCTTTCCCAGGCCATAACAGAGCTGGATTGGAAGAGGAGCAGCCGGGACTAGAACCAGCGCCCACATGGGATGCCACAGCTTCAGGCTAGGGCTTTAACCCTCTGCGCCACAATGCCGGCCCCATGGTCTGCTTTATTTTACATAGTCTAATGATCTCCAGTTCGATGCATTTTGTTGAAAAGGTCAGGATAGCATTCTTTGTTGTGGCTGTGAAATATTCCATTGGGCGTACATGCCACATTTTGTTTTTCTAAACATTTTATTAAAATAGTTATACCACATTTTCACTACCTGTCACCATTTGATGGTCATCTAGGTTGCTTCCATGTTTTTATTATTGTCAATTATTGAGCCGCTATATATATGATGTGCAGCTACATCTTTCATATACTGATTTAATTTGCCTTGCATATATTCCCAGGAGTGTGATGTCAGGATCACATAGATCTATTTTTAGTTTCCTGAGGAATATTCTTCATGTTTTCCATATGATTGATCCAATTTGCATTGCCTCCAACACTGTTTGAAGCTGCATTTAAATTTTGATAAGAACAAAATAGTCTTAATTGTATATTTACTCTGGATAGTTTTGAAAAGATGCAGAAAAAGAATAGAGAGGCTAGTGTCATTCCTAGCTACTCCTTTGTGCCTCCATGTTTCTGTCAAGCATGGTTCTCTATGGCCCCACTCTTAAGCAATTTCAGGGTTGTAACAATTCTTTGCTTCCTGGAGATCCAGTGTACTGCAGGAGTCAGAAAGGGCTTGTAGTAAGAGGATGCCTACCTCAAGGTAAATTTTACTTTTTTAATCAATCAGTTGCCCATCTACCTAAGTCTTAGCTCCTTAGTCTGGGTGGAAAGTGGGTGGGTGCAGGTGGATGAGGGAGATAATAAAAGTATTGAAGATTTCTTATATCTCAGGTTAACCTAACAACATTCATCTGTGTCCCAAGTTCTCTGCTCAGTATCTGTTCTCTCCATTCTCCAGTTTTGGGCATAGGCTATCAGAGCTGTGTTGGGATTCATTCCACGTGGGATGGAATTTGGGTCTTGCATTGGAGGTTTCAGCAGGGTAGGAAATTGGTCCCCATTAGTTACCTTGTCTGCAGCCATCTGGTAAAATGGAGCATCACTGGAGCCTACAGAAACCAGGTTTTCCCTCCTGTGATGAATGGAAGGCACTCAGTCTTTAGGATGTTTTTTCCTTGGAAATATGTGCCTAACTTCCTTACCTCCAAAGTACATTTGCAACACCAACTGTAGCTCTCATTAATGATTTTTTGTTCATGGGAATCTAGATGCAACAAATGAACATTATAGGATAAGAATACCATTTATTCCTGTTGCCCAACCCTGAAATCTCTTACTACTGTGGAACCTGAGGCTTAGTGCAAATCTGGTGACCTGCCCACAACACCCTAGCTCATTAATGGAAGAGTTGGTGTGAGAATACAGTTCTACCTTACCACTCTCTTGTCCATACCATGTGCATTAGTTTATGTCCTTAAGTTCAATATTACCATTTAGAGTCATGGCTTTACACCTAAGGGAAATGTTACTAAATATCCAAAGCTTAGTGTTTTATTCACACACGAAACCTCATGTTGCAGAAAGCTAAACAAATTTCATTTATTAGCCAAAAAAGCACTTTGTTTCACAACTTCTGAAATTTTTTCTTGTAAAATTATGATTTAAGGGCCATTCTGAATTAAAACCTTAATGTATTTTAAAGGAAACCTGTGATTGATTGTATATTTCCTCCTTTTTGCAGCAGCAAGATGAAGAACACTACTCGTTTAATTGTATCAGCCTTTGCATTCAGGTGATACTTTTAAAAAGAATGTATTTAAATATGATTATTTAATATCATTATTAAAATGGGAAATTATATGAAAACAAAATAGAAATATTTCAAACATACACACACACATATATATATGTGTGTATATACATATATACATACATATATATATATATATATATATACACACATAGTATATATATATACTCTGTGCTTCCCTTTCATGTAATCTCATTTGTTTTGGAATTCTGGCTTAAGCTGGACATCAGGACTTGCAAAGAAATAGCATCTGCTAAGTCTAACAGTAATATATTAATGTTTTTTCTACCTGTATAAGTGAAAATAACGAAGCACACATTATAAATATTGTAAGGCATTTTAGTAAATACAATACAGAATGAGAATTAATTCTTAATTTTGGAAACATTTTACTTAGTTTCTTTTCTGTACATAAGAGGAACTTAGTACATATACTTAGTTCCTCTAATATACAAAAATGTACATAAACTCTGAACAAAAAGTATATAAAAGAAGATTTCATATAAATTTATGGAATATAAATAATTCTTTCCTTTTAAATTAATATTTTCATTTGAGTTGGAATTATTAAGTACTCTGATGATTAGTTAATCTTCACAGGCTATATAATATAATCAGTTTATAGGGAATGTGTTTAGAAGTTTAAGAGAAAGGTTTAGGAGGCACTTTAGAGTACAGCATTCAAAATACTGATAGAATTGAATTCTGTCTTATGTGAGAATTACTGGGCCAGAAGCACCCATGAATTTGTAATCATGTACTTGTTGAAAAACTCACTGATAAAAAAAATCTTACTAGTCAAAGTGGTCTTTTAAGGCCTTGATGTTGAGTATGCCCTCACTTGGTTTTTATTAAGTATTCTTCAGATTAATGAGGTTTCAACTTTATGAGAAATTTATAGAAATTCCTTAGAAATTCTTAAATTAGAAGAATAATTTACTAAAAGAGACATACAATTCTAATTTTGTTTTCCTGCTGTGTCTTGAGGAGTCAGTATGATATGCATACTATAAGAAGACAAGATAACATGCTGTAAAATGGGCTGCTGAGAATTTTATTCACCAGCTAATGCTTTGATTGTGTGAAAACTGAGTAATTTTTTGAGATTCTGAGGCCACATAGTTCTTCCCTTTACTTGATGGTTTAAGCCTAAATACTCACATACTGATATCTGATTATTGAACTAAACATAGCCCAACTATAGGACAAAAATCTCTTTATCTGTATTATCATTATTTACATTTTGTTCTTTATAGAGTATTTGGAATCCTGCTCATCTTTGTGGACATATTTCTCATCATGTCAGATGTAATTTTCAATGATAACAAAATAGTTTTCGAATGCCATTCAATTTCTTTGGCTATTGCATTATTTTTTTTCTTTGATGTTCTACTCAGAGTGTATGTTGAGGGGTAAGTTTGATTCCTTTTTTTCTTAGCACACAAAGTAATTTTTTTACACATGATCTTAGCCAAAACTGCCTAGAAACAACAACAAAGTAAATTTTAAAAAGTATTTTTATTTATTTATTTGGAAGTCAGAGTTACACAGAGAGAGAAGATGCAGAGTGGGGGGGTCTTCCATCCAATGTTTAACTCCCCAGTTGGCCACAATGGCCGGAGATGTGCTGATCCAAACCCAGGTGCTGGGACCTTCCTCCAGGTCTCCCATGCAGATGCAGGGGCCCAAGGACTTGGGCCATCTTCTACTGCTTTCCTAGGCCATAGCCGAGAGCTGGATAGGAAGTGGAGCATCTGGGTCTCGAACCAATGCCCATATGGGTTGCCAGTGCTTCAGGCCAGGGCATTAACCCACTGCGCCACAGTGCCAGCCCCAACACATAAAGTAATTTATGTTATCATGAAACATATCCCAAAATAATTGGTTGGTCAGTCCAACCAAATGTGTACCTCTTTATCAAAATCTTTCTTCTGACACGCAAAGTCCATAGAGAAACAGCAATTCAAATCCCAGTTTTTCACCAATTGGATGTTAATAGTATATAGTCTCCAACGGAATATTGTAGAAGCTTCTTTGAATAGATAAAGAGGATGCAAAATAGAACCAGCAGCTGATGTGTCCACATGCACATTAACAAGGAGAACATGTGTTGAATATAGATAACAAAAATTCTCAACAAAATATGAACAAGTTGATTTCAGCAGCACATCAAAAGGATCATTCACCATGATCAAGTAGGATTTATCCCAGGGATGCAAGGATGATGGCAGCAACGTCAATCAATTAACATGATATACCACATCAAGGTAATGGATAAAATCCTGATCATCTTGATAGATACAGAAAGAGCATTCAGTAAAATTCAACATCAGTTCATAATAAAAACTCTGAACAAATGAGGTATATGAGGAATGTACCTCAATAATAAAGGCTATAGGTGAAAAACTGATAGCCAACATTGCACCGATTGGAGAAAAGCTGAAAGCAGTTCTTCTAAGATCTGGAATTACACAAGGCTGTCCTCTCTCAGTACTTTTATTCAGAACAATACTGAAAGTTTTGGCAAGATTCATTAGGCAAGAGAAAAAACTAAAAGGCATATAGGAAGGGGAAGTCAAATTATACATATTGGTAGATGATATAATTCATCTAAAGACCCCACCAAAAGAATGTCAAAAATAATAAACAAATTCAGTAAAGTTGGAGGACACTAAATCAACCTGGAAAAATCGGTAACATTTAAAAGGATTTCTTTATTTAAAAAGCATACTACCAGAAAGAGAGCAAAAGGCAGAGACAGAGAAAGATCTTCTACCTGCTGGTTCACTCCCCCAATGGCCATGTCTAGGCCAGGACTAGGCCAGGCTGAAGACAGAATCCAGGAACTTCATCTTTGTCTTCCACATGGGTGATAGGGGCCTAAGTATTTGAGCTATCATCTGCTGCCTTCCCAGGCACATTAGGAAGCTGCAACAGAAGCAGACTAGCTGGGATTCAAACCAGGCAGTCCAATATGGGATGTGGGTGTCCCAAGCGGTTCCTTAACTGCTGCACCACAATGCCTGATCCACTGGCAGTCTTGTTATATACCAATAATGAACTTGCTGAGAAGGAAATCATAAAAACAATCATGCATGATATCAATTTTTTAAAGAAAGCATCATGGAGTAAAATTAACCAAGGATGAGAAACACCTCTACAATGACAATTATAAAACACTGATAAAAGAAATTGAAGCACACACACACGTACAAAGAATGAGGTCCCATATTTGTGGGTTGCAAGAGTTAAGATCATATAAGATGGTATAATCGCCATCAAAATACCCAATGCCATTGTTTACATAACTAGAAAAAATCCTAAAATTCACATAAAAGCACAAAAGACTCCAAATAACCAAAGTAATCTTGAACAAAAAGAACAAAACTTAAAGCATCACAAGCATAATATTAAATGATAGTAACCAAAATATCATGGTATTGGCATAAGGATACATAGAGCAATGAAACAGAACAGGGATCCCAAAATTAAATCCACACATCTATAACCAACTGATTCTCAACTAAGTCACCAAAAATATACCATGGAAAAATGACAATCTCCTCTATACATGATGCTGGGAAAGCTGAATATCCATAGACAAAAGATTAAAGTATCACCCTTCCCTACTTCTCACCCTATACAAATATCAACTCAATACAGATCAATCTAAATATAAGGCCAGATACTGTGAAACACCTAGAAGAAATCATAGGAAAAACACTTGAAGGCATCAATATAGGCAATGGGTTTTTGGATAAGACCACAAAAGTACAATCAACAAAAGCAAAAATAAATAAATGGAATTTTATTAATCAAAAAAGCTTCTGCATGGTCAAAGAAACAATCATCATAGTGAAGAGATGGGAGAAAGATTTGTAAACTATATATCTGACAGAGAATTAATATCTAGAATATGTAAGGAAGTAAATGAAGTCCACAGAAAAATTCAGATTCCCAAAAAAGATTTATTTGAAAGGCAAAGTTACACAGAAATAAGAACATGTATATGAAGTACAAATATTGGTACCTTTATTAAGAGTTGACTCATGGTGCTGGCACTGACTCAGTGAGCTAGGCTGCCACTTTGCAATGCCAGCCTCCCATGTCAGAGAAACAGTTTGAGTCCCAGCTGTTCCACTTCTGATCCAGCTCTCTGATAATACTTCTCTGAAAGCAGTGGAAGATGGCCCAAGTATTTGGTCCTGCCACCACATGAAAGACTTAGATGGAGTTCTCAGCTACTGCCTTTGGCCTGGCCCACTCTTAGCCATTGCTATCACTTGGGGAGTGAACCAGAAGATGAAACATTCTGTCTCTCTCTTTCTGTCTCTGTCTCTTTCTATGTGTCTTTGTCACTCTGCCATTCGAAAAAATATTTAAAAAATAACTGAATCATAAATGACATTTAACAGTATACTAAGTACTAGACAATAAATCATAAATCACCCTGTGTCTTATCTCAGGATGAAAATTTTGGAGCTGGCACTGTGGTACAGTGGGTTTAGCTGCCACCTGCAGTGCCGACATCCCATATGGCAACTGGTTAGAATCCTGGCTGCTCTACTTCCAGTCCAGTCCTCTGCTAATGCACCTGGGACAGCAGTGGAAGATGACCCAAGTCCCTAGGCCACTGCACCCATGTGGGAGACCTGGAGGAAGCTCCTGGCTCTGGCCTGGCAGAGCCCTAGCTGTTTGGGCAATTTAGGAGAGTGAATCAGCAGACAGGAGATCTCTCTCACTCGCTCTTTCCCCTTCTCTTTCTCTCTGTAACTCTCTGCCCTTCAAATAAATAATCTATAAAAAAAAAAGAATGCAAATTTTAGTGAGGTGAAGAGGAGACATGAAGCATGCTCATCCCATTAGAGGGCCTTGGTAGTGAAGCAGTGGTCACTTTTTCTCTGCCAGCTTTCTGAGAAGGTGTGTGGTATGAGCCAAGCCTTGGACATGACCAATAGGGGAGTCAAGAACTAAGTTCTCCAGCCTCCTTTCATCTAGAGGTCTCAGAAGGCAGTTTGTCTCCTCTGTTGACTCCCCATCCTCATGCCATTGAACTAAGCAGAGTTGCCCAAAATCAGGTTTCTCAGACCCTGAAAGGGGCCTCCTTGACTCAGAAAGAGCATTTCCTGGAGAACAAATGCCCATGTCTGAAGGAGCCACTTTGAGGAGGAAGCTGTGGTGAATGGAGTTCATCTTTGCCTAAAGGAGGCTACAGAAGCCTGCTGGTATTCCAGTGTGGGTTCAGAGCCAGAATGTGAGTTTGCAGGTCTAAATAGTGGATGCTTCTTCATCTCATAAGCTTCTCTGTTATAACTCCTCACGGCTCCAGGTGCTCTAATAGTGTGACATATTCAACTTCCATTTCCCAATAGTACTGCCCAATATCCCACATTTCTTCTGTCACCCACATGAAATCAATGCTTACCTCTTATTCTGTGGTTCTCCTCTATCTCTTACTACACTGAAACTGCCATAGTAAAGCTTTAGTTATACATATGAATCTATTAATGAATATAAATTTCCTATATGTAAAATTTCCATTCACATTTCATTTTTATCAAAGTTGAATCTAGAAATTTCATCTTAAATAATTATTGAAAGGAGAATGTTTAATGGCAATGAGTCAAATAATATGTACTTTTAAAATATTCCTATCTTGTGAGGGACAAACTTTTTTTATATTGCAGGAGGAAGACATATTTTACTGATCTATTTAACATCTTAGATGCTGTCATTATTGCAATAACTCTCTTGATCGATACCATTTACTTCTTTTTTGACCTAAGATTTCTGAAAGACGTACCAAGGTATGAAACATATGATATATCTCTCAGTTTTTTCTTTTCCTTTTTCTATTTTCTGTGGTAATTATTCCACATAGTCTTTTCAACTTGGAATATTCTGATTCTGTACCAAATAAGCTACTTAAAAAAGAAATCTTAGATAAATTTCCATGCACTTCAACCTTTCATTTTAGCATAGGCAAAATTCAAATAACTTTAATCATGAGTCTCAAAGAACAGCAAACAAAACAGAAAAATAGTAAGTGTTGTGGATAGCAATGCAGAGGTAGTTTTGCAGTATAGTTATTGTAGAAATTAGGAAAGCTGAGGCAAAGTTAAAACTGTTCAGGATTAGGCAATTAATTTTTTCTACTGGAGCAATGAGGAACAGAAGCAAATATGATTTGGGATGTACATATAGTGGGTGGGAGCTCACCAGGCTTATCCATTAGTCAAATAGCTGACTTTCTTCTGTATTCCAGCTTCCCTTGGCTTCAATTCAGACCCAATTAACTGTGTTATGTGTTAGGCTTTGGAGTTGTTTGAAAATAACATGAGCCACAGGTGGGGGTGGGCAGGACCACTATGTTCTTAAATCTGTATATATGAAATACATGAAAATTGTACAGCTCAAATAAAATTTAAAAAAAAGAAAATAGCATAAGCCAATGTGGTCTTCAATAAGAAACCTGAGCAGCTAGGAGAAAAATACCTTGGTCCCAATTCCATACCTACTAAATCTGTATCTCTGGGACCCAAACAAGCTATCTTTAAACAAGCTCTTTCAGGTGATGCATTTATGTGTGCCCAAGTTAGAAAAGTATTAGTCCGGAATATTAGTTCCCGGATAGCCCACTTGGGAAGGGTGTCAATTTGTTGTATGTTTGATGTTCATTCGCAGTGGTAGTGAACCTATGTTACTGATGGGAATAACTGTTGAATAATAAGCTTGTTTTGCTGGGGAAAACTTGAAAATTTCTTCAACTGTAAATGTTGAATAAACAAATTCTAAGAACTTATTATCACTTTTCTAGGATGAATTTCTCAACTTTATTATTATGGGCAGTTTAAGTTGGATAATTCTTTGTTAGGGGGAAGGGGGAAATTTTATTTATTGTATGGTATTTGGCAGCAATCTTGGCATTTATCTACTAGATGTGAGTAGCACCCCATACCAGCAGCTGTGACAATCCCAAATGTCTCCAGATCATGCCAGGATGGCCAGGGGCAGGTGGCATAAGTGCCCCTGGTTAAGAACCACTGCTCCAAACTTTGTCTATCCGGATAAAATCTTGTTTCTAAAACAAAAAATGTATCTTTTAAATGTTTGTTAGGGTGGCCGTTCTGCTTCGACCTCTACGCCTTATAATTTTGGTAAGAGTTTTCCATCTGGCTTACCAAAACAGACAACTCCAAAAGCTGACCAGAAGACTGGTGAGTGGGCAAAACTTGTGTTTTGGGACATAATGGCAAGGGATGTAGATACCTATATAATGTTCTTCACTTCTAAGTTGATTTGTGTTTGACAAGTTAATTATTGTTTTGAACTCTCAGGTTTCAGAAAACAAAAGGCGATACAGGAGAGATGGATTTGACCTAGATCTCACTTACATAACTGGTTTGTTAAGCTTAGCTATTGATTTACTTACATTGTCCTACTTTTCTTGTGTGCAAATTTTTATTTTGCTTTTGCTTTTTCTAAGCCATATTCTTCCATTTTTCCCCCCACAAAGACATATGCCAGTGAGATGGTATGACATATCTGTAGTTTAACTCTCACAATGGAAGCTCTCCACATCATACCAAATCAGGGATACTTGACTGCTCTAGAGAAAGTTGAATGATTTTCAGTTTCTTGAGAATTTATTGAGTTCGGATAGTTCTCTTGGGTCTTACAGATCCAGAGAGTCCTCTTCTCTTCTTAGAATACCAGAGATGGAGGCCACTGCATTGCAGGTCTTAAAAGTCTTCTGAGTCAGGAGTGTTGAAACCCTGGAAGTTCCCACAATCACCAGAACCCAGACCTCTCAGTTTTCCTTTGGTGCTTAACGAGGTGCTCCAGAATGAGCTCAACACAACTCTGGCATATTACTAGAATCAACTGAGTCTTAGGACACCATGACATTTAACTGGTCATTACACTGGGTAATTTAGTATATTCTCTTGGTTATCCTGTGTCTGGGATAGCTTTTTTCTGTCAACCTCAACCTTTAAAGTTTTTTTCAAAGTTTCCTTTATTGTATTTGAAAGGCAGAGTTACAGTGACAGGGAGAGGGGAACAGAGAGAAAGAAAAAAAGAGAGAGAGAGAAAGAGACAGAGAAATATTTGCCATTCACTGGTTCACTCCCCAAATGGCTGTACTGGTGAGGGCTGAGCCAGGCCCAAGACAGGAGCCAGGAGCCAGGAGCCAGGAGCTTCATCTGGGTCTCCCACATAGGTGGCAAAAACTCAAGTACTTGAGTTATCTTCTGCTGCTTTCCCAGGCATGTTAGTAGGGAGCTGGATGAACAGTTGGGATTCAAACTGACACCCATCTGGGATGTCTGCCTCACAGGAAGCGGCTTAACCCAATATACCACTATGCCAACCCCTTGAAAGTTCTTTTCTGTAACAAAAGTCTAAACATACTTAAATTATTTTCATATATTGTTCCACATCTATAATCACATTCATAATAGTGATTATCGTGATTTTTTAGATCGCATTATCGCCATGTCATTTCCATCTTCTGGAAAGCAGTCTTTCTACAGGAATCCAATTAAGGTAAGAGTTTTTATCTAATAAATACTCAATTTTCAGTGAACACAGATGTGGAGTCATAGTTTACTGTTGACCCAGGTTTGTCAGTCTTCCTCTGAAATCTTACTCTCTAACGTAAAACATCATAATGGATTCTATCAGATAGTTTTTGCTGTATTTTAAGTAATAGCCAGTATTTTTAAAATTATATATACACACAGACCTATATTAGTTTTTAAAAGAAATGAACCAAAATGTCTTCATATAGCTATGACTTTTCTAAAATTTGATAAAATCTATCATTTTATGCATATACAGAGTAATACTATATACTTTGCCTTTTATTTATTTATATAATGCTTAGACCATAATAATCAGTTCATTATCGAAATGATATCTATTCAGAATTAATTTAAATAAGAACTATATGTTAACTGGGAATTAAGAATTTGGACAATAAATAAAATAAAGCTAGCTAACCAGCCAGTTTCCTCCTCTAGTGGCAGTAAACAATGCTTACTTGGAGTAGAGAATAATTTGAGTAGCCAAGCACACTGGTTAACTGTATGAAAGCCATCCATGGGTTAGACATGACTTGGACTACATGTACCTTCATATTCTATGAATCTCTTCTAGAAGCATGAGTGAGAGCCAAAAAGTAACAGCCATCATGTTTATATAACTAACTCCTGGGTCATTCCTAGGTTATGCTGGATAGTAAGATATGTGTCTGTCTCTTTTAGGAAGTTGTGAGGTTCCTGGATACCAAACATCGAAACCATTACCGAGTCTACAATCTATGCAGTATGTACATGACTTGATATTTTGCTACTATAGATAGAAAACAATTATGAATGTAAGAAGACAATTTCATTTCTACTTGTCATTTAATCATAAGCATTTGGTGGCAGTGAGGAGAGTGAGTTCAAAAATACTGATCTTGCTCAGGTACATTTAATAGGAAGATTGAGCTCAGTGGGTGCCCTTCAACAGAGACAAGCCTGTTAGAACCCAAGAGGCAGAAGTGGAGGTTTGGTCTACTCCAGTGGTTTTAGGGTTAAGAAAACTTTCTATTTTCCCTGGAACACTGCATTGAGGACACAGACCAAAAAAAGGAATTCTCTATCCACTAGGAGTGAGTTGTGATGACAGCAGTGTACTAAGTGGGAGTGGGGAGGATTGTCATTTTTAGTCCTTGTTTATACTCCTGTGGAACTGTTGTCTTCTTTTTACTTGTTGCATACTATGGTTAGTGGTGAATTACCCCTGTGATTACAGAGTAGACTAAAATTTTAAAAAAAGAAACTAAACCTTTAAAGAATATTAACAAATGATATCCTTAAGTTACCACTCTTGTCTCTCCTGAGTTTTTCCTCTATTTGTTTATTAAATGGACATTTTGCAAGGGAAAGAATTTTGGCCAGTTACACTGCCTTTGCCCCATTGTTTTCAACTATCTTACAATAGTATAATGAATTATCTGCTAAAAAGTTAAAGTAAAGGCTATTCAAAAGTCAGTTGGATCAGTAACTTATCCATAGAATAAGTCACTAATTTTTTTATGTTTTTGAGGCCCTCAAGTTTTTTTAGAGCAGCTAGAGCCACTCAGAAAACTCCTTTTGTTTTTTTTTGTTTGTTTGTTTGTTTTATTTTTTTTATTTTTTTGACAGGCAGAGTGGACAGTGAGAGAGAGAGACAGAGAGAAAGGTCTTCCTTTGCCGTTGGTTCACCCTCCAATGGCCACCGCGGCCGGCGCGCTGCGGCCGGCGCACCGCGCTGATCCGATGGCAGGAGCCAGGAGCCAGGTGCTTTTCCTGGTCTCCCATGGGGTGCAGGGCCCAAGCACCTGGGCCATCCTCCACTGCACTCCCTGACCACAGCAGAGAGCTGGCCTGGAAGAGGGGCAACCGGGACAGAATCCGGCGCCCCAACCGGGACTAGAACCCGGTGTGCCGGCGCCGCTAGGCGGAGGATTAGCCTAGTGAGCCGCGGCGCCGGCCAGAAAACTCCTTTTGATAAGGAATTTCAATAGAAAACTTTAACATGTTCATAACTCATCATTTATTATGTTATTAGTTATGAAAATATGACATCTGTATGATTTATTTTAGGTGAAAGAGCTTATAATCCTGAACATTTTCATAACAGAGTCCAAAGAATCATGATTGATGATCATAATGTCCCTACTCTCAGGTAACTTTTATGCAACACTGGCTATGAGAAGAGGGCCAGATACACTGGGCTTTATTGTTTTGGAAATATTTTAATTCAACTAAAAGTCTAACTTTTAAAATCAGCGAGATGGTGGTATTCTCCAAAGAAGTAAATATGTGGCTGGCTCAAGACAAGAAGAACGTAGTAGTGATTCACTGCAAAGGCGGCAAAGGTAATAGCATTTTTTCTTTTTTTCTAAAGAAATTCAAAATGTATATTAAAGTATAAAACAGATTCATCTTACTATCAAACAATATGAGTAAGGTTTAAAATTTAGAATTTTTTTAAAGATTTATTTATTTGAGAGGCAGAGTTACAGACAGGAGAGATGGGGAGGGCCTTCTACCCATTGGTTTACTCCCCATTTAGCTGCAATGGCCATAGCTGGGCAGATCCAAAGGCAGGAGGCAGGGCTGCTTCTGGGTTTCCCACATGGATGCAGGGGCCCAGGCTCATTAGTAGGGAGTTGGATTAAAGTACAGTAGCTGGGACTCTAACCCGTATGGTATGCCAACAGCAGCAGGCAGTGACTTTACCTGCTGTACCACAGCACCAGCCCCTTAATATTGGAATTTTAAAAATTGAAATGGATGTATTTCTTTTTCTATACATATAGTCCATTGTTCTAACACCATCTACTGCATGTTATTTATTCTCTATTAATTTCTAATCCCTCTCAGCCTTATCTCACCTTTCAGGAACTGACATATCCTCACTCACTTCATCTGCAGCTTCTATTAGTGAAGAGTTGTAATGTTCCTTTGGGGGACTCATATTGTCTTCCTTATTCTTATTTCAGGTTTTAGCTTTGTTTTCAGCATATGTGTGTATAAATATATATTACACACAAATATTTATAAACTTACAGAATTTCTCTTGTGAGATTTCTGTTATGTGCTGCTCTGTGTGCGTTTCAAGTGGAAGCACAGAGCACTATCTACTGGAGCCCTGTTCACCTGTAAATCATGGTGGAGTTGGGTGTGAGCTGTGGTGCACTTAGCCCCACCTTCTGAGACCCAGATGAGTTCTCAATGATGGATTTCATGGGCTCGAGTTTCCTTGTTGCCTGACTTGCATGGTGGGGAAGAGTCTCCTCTGAGATAGTGTGGACATCGCTCCTGTGTGGGAGGTGTCGTGGGATGGCTCCCACAGTTGATGTTTGTGTGTCTGGTAGGCCAAGGTCTATGTTCGAGAATGTAAACATTAAAGATGGCTTCTGTGGGCCAGCTGCAGGTCTGGATGGGCAGGGGGAAAAGGGGTCGGACAGCATAGTACCAATCTGTTTGCTTTTTTTATACCTTCTCTTTTTTTCCCCTCTTGGAACTTCAAAAGCAGTTCACCTATCTCCTCCTCCTGCTGCTACTCCCAGCTCCAGGACACCTAATTCCACCTAACCTGATCCACTGGGGACTGGCACCCTCCACCCCGACAACCTGTGCATGCTGCGTCTCCTCTGTTTCTCCTTCTTATTTTCCCTTTCAGCATGTACCTGCCCAGTCTGTGTTGGCCAACTGGGTTTCCCGGTGTAAATTTCCCGCAGTTCTATCTCCTGCATGTAACCTCTCTCCCTTTTAACTACCTATTTTGCCCCCATGTGACTTGGATATTCCTGTTTATTTTTTTTTTCTTTTTTTGACAGGCAGAGTGGACAATGAGAGAGAGAGACAGAGAGAAAGGTCATCCTTTTGCCATTGGTTCACCCTCCAATGGCCGCCGCGGCCAGCGCACCATGCTGATCCAAAGGCAGGAGCCAGGTGCTTTTCCTGGTCTCCCATGGGGTGCAGGACACAAGCACTTGGGCCATCCTCCACTGCACTCCCAGTCCACAGCAGAGAGCTGGCCTGGAGGAGGGGCAACCGGAACAGAATCCGGCGCCCCGACTGGGACTAGAACCCAGTGTGCCGGCGCTGCTAGGTGGAGGATTAGCCTGTTGAGCCACGGTGCCGGCCCAGATTTTCCTGTTTCTAAGCTGCCATCTTTTCCCTGACCCTTTGGTTCTTCTTACAACTTGATTCTTACATTCAATTTTAGAATAATTTTGTCCGTTTTCACAATATGTTTAGGATTTTCATTGGAAAGGAACTGAATTTATTAATTTGGGAGAACTGACAACTAGGTTATCTATTTATTTGAATCATTTGGCCCTTCAATAATATTTTATACTTTATATTCACAGTGGTTTTTGTAGTCCATTTTCTGTTGTGGTAGCAAAAATACCGAAGGCTGGGTACTTTATAATAAAAGTGGTTTATTTAGACCACAAATTTGAAGGCTGAAAGTCCAGGATCAGGCAACCCCATGTGTTTGGGCCCTGGTAAAGCTGCTTGGTTGCATCACAGCATGTTAGATGGCATCATGGTGGGAGTGATGCATTCGGTTAGCACGTGGTACTTATATTACCTTCTTAATAGAAAGCTGCTAGATTCTGTTGATAGTTTGGTTTACAGTTCTTGTATCCGGGCCATGGGTATGATTGGATATTCTTTTTTTAGTTTCCCTCATAATGTTAATTTCAACTGTTGGCTTCACAAAATGAGCTAGGCTGCATTTCCTTTCTTTTTTATTCTCCAAGTCTGTTTAACTTGGTTATTATTTTTTTTCTTTACCTTAAATGTAAGCTAGGACTCCCTAGTGAACCCACATCAACCTACAGTTTTCTCTGTGGATGTTTTCAAGTTGTAAATCAGATTTTGTTAGATATAGGATTGTTTAAAACTATTTCTTGTATCTATTTTAGTTAGTTGTATATTCCCAAGCATTTGTCCATTTTATATACAATTTCAAATGTCTTGGCATCAAATTGTTCAACATATAATCTTACTATTCTAATATCTAGAGTGTGCTCCCCTTTTTATTCCCTATGTAGCTTTCTTGATGCCTTGTCTCTATTTTCTTTGATTAGTTTCACCAGGGATTTTTCAATTTTATCAATCTTTTCAAAGTACCAAATTATTAGATTATTGTTGGTAGCTCTTTTTTTAGTATTATATTAGAGGGGAGAGACAAAGAGAGCACTGGCACTCCCATCTGCTGGTTCATTCCCCAAATACTCAGAACATCAGCCCCAGTAGTAGCCAGGAGCCAGGAGCCAGGAGCCAGGAATACAGTGCTGGTCTCTCAATGTGGATGGCAGGAAATCAAATTACTTGAGCCATCACCACTGCCTCCAAAAGTCTGTATTAGGAGGAAGCTGGAGTCAGGAGCCAACCAAGCTGTTGATCAGTAGCCTCCTTTTCAGGAAACTTCATGCAAAAGGTGGAAAAAACTCCTCTTTGGAAGTACCTGGCTTAGAATAGTGTTTGCAATGACAGACTGAGAAAGCAATTTAGCGGTTCATTAAACATTTTTAAAATGATAGAAAATTCTGTGCATCTCAGGTAAAAATAAGTTTGGAATTACATTAAGTAATTAGGTTCAGTGTGTACTAAGTAAAAAGCTACAGTAATTAAGCAAACATTTTTATTTTTTTTTTTGAGACACAGGATGGTACTCACGTTTTATTGTAAAATAAGAAACCGATATAAAAAGGGGATATAAAAAGGGAAGAGGACTGGCGGTGACAAATGCAGATGTGCCTTGCAAGGTGCAAAAGAAATTGACCCTGAGCATTGTGGGGAAAGTGAAAAAGGTCTTAGTAGATGCAGATGGTACATGAGATGGAATCCTCCAGGCGTAGGTTAGGGCAGGACTTCTTTCAGGTGCCATTGTCACTAAGAGGCTGGGCAGGATTTGGCTGCACCAGCGTAGACCAGGTGCCCAACCAGTGAAGCTGTCAACCCAGCCAGCAGGAGGGCAGGGAACCAGCTCCCATGAGGGTGCCACATCCCAGCCACCCTATAATAAAGGGTGCTTTCCAGGACAGCCACACAGCATTTCATTAATCCTCACAGTAGACCCTGTGAGGTAGGCATGATCAGCATTTCATGAAGTTGTGGCCACATCCCTGCTCAGCACAGCAGGAGGGCTGGGCTTCCCACCCAGCCTAGGGCTGCTTCTCAGAGCATTTTTCCCCCCAAACATTCCTCACAGTCAAAATTCTAAAAGCTAAGGCTGGCCCATCCTAGCTCCCACTGCCCCTCCCTTCCTCCCCCCAATACCACCAGTGCAGGCCAAGGCAAGTGGAAGAATTCCTGGGAGTTCTGAGGCATACCTCTACCAAGTAGGGTTCAAGCACCTGAGTCCCAAAATGTCAAGGTAGGAGGGCATGGGGGTCGTCAACGTGGTCAGAAGGTGAGACCTCAGTCTGAGTTGGGCCCCTCTCTCTTGAACATTAGTTTTTTACTGCAGGAGGTAGACTGCCCCTTCTTGGCCTTTGGGCAGCTGGAGTGAGCCCTGCTCCCCCAGGGCTCCTTCTTGGCCTTGGCATCCTTGAGCTCCAGGACCTCATTCAGCTCTTGGAACACCTTGAAGCATTCACGCCCACGGATCTTAATGATGCAATATTCTCTATCAAGTGGCTTCTTTTTCTTGGGAGAGGAGTCGGTGGTGGTGGTTGGCAGTGCTTGCTTAGAGCTCCCGGGGGGCAGCTCAGGGCAGGACTCCCCTTTCTTGAGGAAATTTTCTTCCTCTGTGCCGTGGTCCCTCCCAGGACAGGCACACACTCGCACCTCAAAGCTGTTCCATCCTAGCAGGTTCCCCCTGGAATCTTCCAGTGTGATGAGGGTGAGGATGGGCCACCGGTTCATGCCCCCCATGCAGGAGCTGTTACACATGTAATTATAGTGGATGGTGGTACAGTCAGGGCCAACGTCGGGTGGCTCATAGGGCACCACCACACTGTGTCGGAAGGTGTTTCTGTCATCCAAATACTCAGCACACAGATTTCCCTCCACCCGGATGAGATGCTGAGAGAGGGGCCAGATCATCACTATCGGAACAGCACTCGTGGTGGGGGCAGTGTCTGACAACTTCCTTCATGTGTTGAGACTTCTTGAAGATGGCCATGGCCCGCACACGGGTGCCAGGCAGGGGTGTTGAGTCGACCCACAGCTGCACAGGGCAGGTGTTTGCTAGCTGCTAGAAGAGCTTGTTGAGGCAGGGGGAGTACGTGCAGGTGACAGACTTGGCCGTCCCAGAGTGCAGGAAGCCCAGCCGGAAACTGGAGTTGCCGTGGTAGGTCTTTTGGGAAGGGACAGAGGATGACAGGGGCCAGCAGGTGGCTGGTGCAGGGGTCGCCAGCCCAGGGGCAGCTGGGGTGGGGGCCTCTGGTGCAGGAGCTGCTGGTACTCAGAGCCCTTCATCTGGGTCTTCGTTGAGCCAGTTGGCAACATCTTTAGTGGACAGCAGATCATCCAAGGGAGGGTTCAGCAAGGTGGTCAGCAGGTTGTACTCAGAAAGCAGTTTCCATAGGTCTGAAAGTGTCTCCTGACTCAGGGGAGGCTCCAGGCTGAGAACTGACTACAACTCCTCCATGGCAGCACCCAGGAAGCTGGCCCGGTCGCCAGTCCTCAGGAGAGCGCATCACAGCCCCAGACGCCAGGTGCCCCCGCAGCGCAGTGGCTACCTGCGCCCTGGACGGTGGCCCCCAGGAAACAACATCTTTTTAAAGTTAAATTTTGTATGGCAGATGAAAAATAGAAATTCAAATAAAACTCGAGAAATTTTGAGGATAAATGACATGAAGCATAAGGTCAAGGATTTGCTTTAAAATGTAACAGTGGAAAAGAAAGGAGATGGCACAGAAGAAGAAAGGATAGAGGATAGAGGAGAGGGGAGGGGTAGGAGAGAAGCGAGGAAAGAGGAGAGGGAAAGTAACCAAGTTCAGCAAATATCAGTAACTACAAAATCAGGAAAAGTACACGAGGGTTCACTATCCTGTTCTGTATGCTTTCATATGTTTAAAAACTTTTGTACTACAATTAAATACTCTATGGAAGAAACAATGAGTATTGCAAATGCTAAAAGCCATTTTGAGTTGTGATCCTGGTTTTATTCTTTTTCTAAAAGAATGTTTAATTTATTTGAAAGGCAGTGGCACAGAAATAGAGAGGGAGAGGCAGAGAGATCTTCTATCAAGTGGTTCACTCTCCAAATGGCCACAATGACCAGGACTGGGGATGGCTGAAACTGGGAGCCTGGAACCCTTTCTGGGTCTCCCCCATGGGTGGCAGGGGCCCAAGTACTTTGGTCATCTGCTAAATCCCCAGACTCATTAGCAAGGAGCTGGATCTGAAATGGACTAGCTTAACCTGCTGTGCCACAACTCTGACCGCTATTTTAACTTTTATAGATACTTTTATTTATGTTATATGGATCATAGAGTGTAGAATTAGTTCCTAATTAGCAAGTGAGGCTTTAGGCTTGGAGTCCTAGGCAGAACTGACTGCCTCCAGTGTGTTTCCCAGCATCTGTGATTCAAGACAAGTACACATGTGCACAAGTGTATCATGTCCATTTACAGAACCAAATTCCAGATACAACCATAAAACAGCGAAATATCTTGGCTATTACTAAACTATTTGTGACAAGCACATTCAGGGTGTAAAAAAGTCAATCAAAAACACACTCTGGATACTTCTGAGTGTATTTTCATACTAAGTTCTACCATGAACTAGCTTCTTAAACTAACTTTTCTTTTCTAGGAAGAACTGGGACAATGGTCTGTGCTTGCCTCATTGGTAATCAGATCTTTGGTACTGCAAAGGTATGAAACATGTTACTACAATCTGTCTTGTGCTTACTGAAATCGCCAATTCTGAACTATCACTGCTAGGATGTTATGGTGACTCTCTGAGTCCCAATGGTTAAGTGAAACTGTAACTGGAGAGTGGGTCATTAAAAAGTATTGGTTGGCTCCTCCTTTGTTTCATATCCACTATGAAATTAGTAAATGACTACTTCTTACCCTGGACAAGGACTAGGGTAAAATGTGTGAGGCATAAAATTTAAGGGAATATAAAAAATCTCAGTAGTTAGCATAAATAATGTTAAATCAATATTTTAAAATAAAAACGAATGCAAAAAATCATGATGTATACACTATTAATCTTTTAAATACAAGTGGGACCCAATAGGAGCAGGATTAAGTGAGGTCAGTAAAGCCAAGTTATACAAATGCAAAGCGTTGCAGGACTTCCTCATGAGAATAATATTCAGATTAATTAGATGCATTTTGCAGAGGACCTTGGCTATCCTTAAAATTGCTGTATATACATAAAAGGCCTTGCTTTCCCACTCAGAGTCTCTCATGGTTAATTACTATTTTTGCAAAGTCAATATACATAATAACTGTAATCTGGAAATTGCTGAGAAGAGAAGGTGAGTTGTTCCCATGTCTTAAAGCAGGGTTCATTTTGCTGCCATATTTTTGGGAAGCTGCCACTTAAGTCCCTACTTCCAGCAGCTCTGGTCTGCTGGCCTGCAGTAGAGAGAAGAGGAGCTGAGGGTTATGCACAACAGTCAGCTCTCCAGGAGATGGGAGGAGTGCGAGTGGGAGGGAAATTATGGGGGAGAAAGCCAATGTAATCCATAAACCGTACTTTGGAAATTTATATTTACTAAATTTAAAAAAAAGGAAAAAAAAAAAAAACAGCTCTCTAGCCACTTCTGTCTTATAATCTAAGATACACAAGTTTGGAAATAGGTGTTTCTTTAAGTCATACATCATTATGTTTCAGTGAGTTGTAAAAGCAACTTACTGAGTAGTGTTTCACTTCTAAAATGGAGATTAGAAAATATCAATGTTTGATGGGTGTGTGTGTATGCCCAAGTCTGTGTGTATATCATGGGTTTATTAATGTGGGTTACAATTTCATTTTCTTTTCATCTCAGTCTTCTCATTTGTATATTGGAAGGTAGAAAGAAGAGTTGGACCAAATAGTTTCTAAGGGCATTCTAGTTCTGAAAGTCCATGTATGCAGGAATCTTTGAATGAGACATATCTTTGATGTAGCCTTTTTAATACTGTTATTTTGAGTAGCCTCTCTTCACAGAATGCTCCCCTTAAGGAAATAATGTGTCCTTAGAAACTTAAAACACATCTACTATGGGAAAGGGAAGATTGCAGATGAACCATTGTTATGTTGCTCCTTTTCTATAGGAAAGTCTTGCTTATTTTGCAAGTCGACGTACTGATCACACCATCAGTAGTAAATTCCAAGGAATTGAAACTCCCTCCCAAGTAAGTTTTCTTTTTAAAGGGGCACTTCTTTGGGGGGAGTGGGTTAAGATTAGCCCGACACATGGTTTCACTTTAGACTCTTCTCTGTTGGATATCAGGCAGTGGCCCTTGGGTGCCCTGCAGCAGGCTTTAACTCCTCCTCAGGACCAAAACCTATACCTCAGTCGCTGCCCATGCTTGAGGAGCAGTGGGTCCTCCCTAGAGCATTTGATATTTGTTGTTGTGTACAGAGTTCAGCAGTTGATTACTTTCCTGTAATAGGCAAGTCTAATACCTAAGATTCCAGGCCCCTAATGCTTATCAGTTGCCTTTGATTTCCCCATAGAAGAGGAACTGAGTCTTTCACAAACCCCTCCTGCAGCAATGTTGCCCTCTCAGAGAATCATGAGAACTATTTCTAGATGATTTCCTTGTGAGAGTGGTTGGGGAGGGAGAAGGAATGTCTATATTTTGATGGTTAAAGAAAAAAGAAAATAGAGGCCGGCACCATGGCTCGCTTGGTTAATCCTCCGCCTATAGTGCCGGCATCCCATATGGGCACTGGGTTCTAGTCCCAGTTGCTCCTCTTCCAATCCAGCTCTCTGCTATGGCCAAGGAGGGCAGTGGAGGATGGGCCAAGTGTTTGGGCTCCTGCACACCCATGGGAAACCAGGAAGAAGCACCTGGCTCCTGGCTTCAGATCAGCGCAGCGTCGGCCATAGCAGCCATTTGGGGAGTGAACCAATGGAAGGAAGACCTTTTTCTCTCACACTGTCTGTAACTCTGTCAATTTAAAAAAAAAAGAAAAAGGAAAATAAACACTTTTCAAAACCTCTAATATACCCCAAATGCTTCTAAACTTAAAACTATTTCATTTAGGATTTATAATATTTATGTGGAGATTGCTGAATTTTTTCCTTTTAAAAAGATTATGGAAATTTTCAAACATATGCAAAAAAGACAATTATACAACAAATCCATTTTTACTCAACATGCCACTTTATCTCATAACTAACCAATCATGGTTTATTCATTCTCTCCCCTCTCTATCCAAATTCCTCAACCCTATTCCACTCTGTTTACCAAACCTGGGTTATTCTGAAGGAAATTACACCCATGAGATCATTTATCCCACAAGTATTTTGGTATGACATCTAACATAAGGTCTCAAGAGAACCCAAAAATCTTAATACCATTTATCACATCAAATGCTGTATGCCTTATAAAATCTTAATAATTTCAAATTTTGAGTTTATTTTTAAATTTTCATAATTGTCTAAGATACTTAGAAAACTTTGTTTCAGTTACAATACAAACAAGGCCCATACATATCATTTGGATGCTACCTCTCTTAGGTCTCTTTCTGTTTCTGTTTCCCATCTCATTTTTATTCCTTGTGATTTGTTTATTGCAGAAATCAAAACATTTATCTGATAGAGTTTACAACAGTCTAGACTTATTGATACATGCTAAGGGTTTTATATTCATTACCTAATTCAATAGGCACTGTTATGAATCCCATTTTACAGATTATGAAATTGAAGTTCAGAGAAATTAACCACTAGAACCAAGAACTCAAATCTAGATCTGTCAAATCTGAAGCCCAGTATAGTCCATGCTGTGAACAGCTTCTATTTATTGTCCCCCTAAAACCAAAGTGAGAGCTGATTGAGACTCTTAGGGAGATGTGAATGTAGCTATAAATGAGAGACTTTCTTTGAGTGAAGTGATGGCAACTGAATAACTACACTGGGCTTTGAAAGCAGCACACAGTAACTTCTCACCCTAGATCTTTGGTTAGGACAAAAGAATTCAGCCTTTACTCACCAATACTTTTCTCCCATACCTAAGCCAAAGAAAACAAAAAACAAGATATACATACACCCTTGGATAAAAGTAATACATCAACCTACTGAAGTCCATCTTTTATCACGCCATTTCCATGCTCAAAATCCATGATGGCTCCCTGCTGCCAATGGCAACTATATGTTCTAACCTAGCTCTCAAGATCTTCTGCGGCCGGTGCTGCGGCTCACTAGGCTAATCCTCTGCCTTGCGGCGCCGGCACATCGGGTTCTAGTCCCAGTCAGGGTGCCGGATTCTGTCCCGGTTGCCCCTCTTCCAAGCCAGCCCTCTGCTATGGCCTGGGAGTGCAGTGGAGGATGGCCCAAGTCCTTGGGCCCTGCACCCCATGGGAGACCAGGAGAAGCACCTGGCTCCTGCCATTGGATCAGCGTGGTGTGCCGGCCGCAGCGCACCAGCCGCGGCGGCCATTGGAGGGTGAACCAACGGCAAAAGGAAGACCTTTCTCTCTGTCTCTCTCTCTCACTGTCCACTCTGCCTGTTAAAAAAAATCCTCTTCAATTTGATTTTTCAAATTTTTTCTTCATTAAGTGCTGTCACATATCCTGTGCTCTAAGACAATAAGACCCTTTGCTATTTCCCAGCTTGTCAGCACTGTGTATCTTCATGCTATGAATCTGGTGGCAGGAGCCAAGGGTATGTGAAATGCAGCTCCTTCACTGACTCTCCCCATACATCTCCCTTTCTCCATTTCTCCTTTAGTCCTGCACAGTTATCCTGACTTTAGTCCAGAACTAGCACACCATATGCTACACCTGATGTCTTCTGATTCACTGGGATAGCAATAGAAGAACTCAGCTGCAGACTTCAGATTTGGCAAGGCCCTGGGGCAGAGGTTCCTTTATGTCAAGTGATGATTCTCCAGACACCATCACATTCTGACCCTCCCAGTGAGCCAGTCTCCTGGTCACATTACATCTATCCCTGAGTTAAGAACTTGCATGAGACTATCTCATGGCTGCCCTTTCTCATAGAAAGTACAACACTTAATTTTATTAAACTTCCCAATGGGGAAAGAAGAATCTGTGAACTTCTGAGTCCTGTTGGTTCAGTGCCAGAACTGTTCAACTTCCTTAAGAAAGACTCAAGGACAGACCTTGTGAATAAGTTTATCACAGAAAGAATGAAACCAAGAAAATTCCAGAACTTCTTTGCAACAACAGAACTGAGAAAATGATAATTAAAGAAACTCTAGCTGGCAGAGGCAAGGTAAAAATGACCAAGAATCTACCTGAGAGATGTTGGTCTCCTCCTGAGTTTGCAAATACCATTCTTCCATTATCATAGGCTATTCTTCACCCAATCACAAAGCTTCCCGTAACTCAGTCACATCCTTGCTTCTATCCACACATGGATAATGGTGTAGTCTAAAACACAATCATAATTATAAGCACCCTATAAGCCAGACCTGATTCCTTTCTGGTTTCCTCCCAAAGCACTTAGTTCAGTATTGTTTCCTAAGGTAGTTTTGAGGCCACATACATAACAACACTCTGTCTTATAACAAAATCCAGCAAGTGATTTCTTAATTTCTTACTGCCCTTACCAAGCTCTATGCCCTGCCCTCACAATAGGAATTTCTGATTTTCAGCTTTTCTTCCTCATGTAACCTGAAGCTTTTGTTTCTTTGCAGAGTAGATATGTTGGATATTTTGAGAATGTGAAAAATCTCTGCAACTGGACTCTCCCGCCAAAAAAAATCCTCACGCCATACAAAATTATCATTTATTCAATTCATAGTAAGTGTTTTTGTATAACTGAAAAACTGGGCAGAAGCAACAATGTTCCCATTCTTTGGGAAGATTTGCTTGTGGATATATACAGATGAGCTTTACTAGTACTAGGGCATCTAAAGAAATCTTTGTGAGTTTTAAACCATTTCAGGGAAGTCACGGGCATTTCAGCCTAATGAAGTTTTAACACCTTTCTCTCATAGGAACAATGAGAATAAATAGTTTCTCAAAATTCAAAGCCTAAAAATCATTTAAAAATTTGGGAATTTTTGTGTCAGTCGGATATTATATCCTAAGATTATGTCTTCTTTCTTAATATCACTTTGGGTTTTATTTAAACCTTGTAGAAGGGGCCAGTGCTACGACACAGTGGGTTAAAAGCCCTGGCCTGAAGTGCCAGCATCCCATATGGACACTGTTTCTAGTCCTAGATGCTCCTCCTGATCCAGCTTTCTGCTATGGCCTAGGAAAGCAGTAGAAGATGGCCCAAGTTCTTGGACCCTTGCACCCACGTGAGAGACCTGCAAGAAGCTCCTGGCTTCCTATTGGCACAGCTCTGGCCGTTGCGGCCATCCTGGGAGTGAACCAGCGGGTGTCTCTCTGTCTCTACCTCTCTAACTGTCTTTCAAATAAATAAAATAAATCTTTAAAAAAAAAAAAACACCCTGTAGAGACAATGCTTACAACTGTAAGGTGCAGATCTGGAAAAAATAGGGAGTTGCTCAAATTCACAACTTCAAGTTATTGTAGGTGAAGTTGTGTGGAATTTTATGGCATGATTTGCTTATCTCAGACTAACATGAAATAGAGGATTGGAAAACCTCAATCTCAGGGGCCAGCATTGCGGCATAGAAGGCTAAACCACTGCCTACAGTTTTATCATTCCACTTAAGTGCTGTTCCAAATCCAGATCCCTGTGGGTGCACCTGAGAGCAGCAGAGGATGGCCTGACTGCTTGGGCCCCTGGTACCTACAAGGGAGACTCAGATGGAGTTCCAGGCTCCTGGCTTCAGTGTGGCCCACCCAGGATGTGTGACCATTTGTGGGAGTGAAGCAGTAGATGGAAGATCTTTGTCTCTCTCTAACTCTGCCTTTCAAACAAACAAATAAAAGACAATCTGAGATCCAAGATCCTGGGTGTTCAGCTTTCCACATGTCTTAGCTTGTAAACCAACTCAGGAAGGACTGTTGGACAAGTTAAAATTCGTCCTGCACCCGTGTAAATAAGCGGGCCAAACTTACTGGGATCAGTATGATTTTTGAATAAAAATAATCTTTCAAATGGTTGTGACAACAAGAGAAAGGAGCTAGGGAGACTGAGAAGAAAAAGTGTGAGAGGCTCTTAGATGGGTAATGTCTGTGACTGCACACTTCCAGCTTTCATTGTCTTTGAGCTCTTTACTCTGCAAGTTGTAGAAAAGTGATAATGCAAACAACTTTTCTACATAGAAATGCAAACTGGATATGTTCAGTGGAATGCAATTGGCTACTAGCCCATTTGCATCTAGTCGTAGGTTCATTGCATCATTTACTATATGCTTGTGTGTGGTACTTTGAACCAGCTAGAATATTTATTGTTTCCTCATTAGTGTGCCTATCTTTTTAATTTTATACAGATGTTGGAAAAGGCGATGGAAGTGACCTAAAAATTCAAATAACTACAAAACAACAGACAGTCTTTTCATGTTCATCTTCTAAAAACTGCAAGGTAAGAGAAAGCATATGAATTGAAAATTCTGAAGTTTTTTTAAAGCTCAAAGTTATATCAGCATGTTGGCCTCCTGAACCACACTCACCACAAAGAAGATGTTATGTTGCTTTGTAGTTACCATCCAACATGGAAACCGTAAGTATGGATGCAAACCAGAGCTAACTTAACCAAATTGTTTGAAAAAAAAAGGGGGGAGGGTTTCCCAGGGTATTTTCTAAAATATATATCATTGTAAATTGTGGCTTGCCTTTTAGGTTCCCACAAATGCTGAGCATGTTACCAGGAATCTATCAAGATTTTAATTTCAGATTGTAGTTATTTTTAGCCATATTTTTTTCCTCTTGGTCATTTTACCTTTTACTGTCCAACACTAAAATTTCAAATTGTAGCATACAAGAAAATCTCCTAGGGGCATGTAAAGATGCAAATTCATTATCTGTGCCTCCAAGGTATGATTCAGGAAATCTGGAATGGGTCTCAGCTATCTGTAGATATAGCAATGCTCCAGATGACTGTAACCAACAGTCCTGTGAGTTAGCGTTATGAGAAACTATGTAAGCATATGGATGAAAGAGGAGTCTCTTTACCCAAAGCAATGGGACCCTAGTAGACAATGATCTGCTAAAATGTTGAAGTGATGCCTAACTATATAAAGACTTTTGTGGAACAATAATAAAGCTTCTTTCATGAGTCTAGGAACTGTAAACATTCAGAAGACCCTCCCATGCTTCTATTCCTGACACTAATCCTCCTTGTCCTGTCCCCCTGTGTTGGTTTTGTTTTGTTTTGTTTTGTTTTGTTTTGTTTTGTTTTGTTTTGTTTTGCCTCTCCTAGCTGAGGGCATTCACCTGGGCCTGATCCTTGACATTTGTGTTTTCATTTCTGTAACTACCCCATTCTTGGTTACTCTCAGCCATTCCCCTTCTTACATTATTATTTGTTCTTTAAGCCGTGGAACATATATTAATGAGCACTCACTGTTGCTACATGTAGAAATTACAATATGGACAGTCTTACCCCAACAATCCAAAGTTAGTCAAATCCAACTTGCCAAATGGAGCTTTTCCCTCTGCTACTGCAGATGGCACCATCATTCTTTCACTCAGGTCTTCACACGTGGTATTATCTTTGATTCTCACTTGCCTTCTCCACATAAATCCAATGAGTCACCAATTCTCTGATTATTCCTTTGAAATTTTTCTTCATTCTCCTTTCCTTTATGTTTCCCACTGCCACTGTTTAGTCCATTTGCTCGTTGCTCTGACAAAGTTTCTAAACAATGGTCTCCTTACCTTGTCTTTCTTCTTACACATTGTAGTGGGTAGAATCCTACAACATGCATCTTGAAGTATTGCTCTCATTGTGAAGAGCTGTATGTACGTCAGAAGGACACACAGTTTATGCACAGTTAAAGCCAGTTAGCATCTTTGGGTCAGCATTCTTATCTGAAAAATAAAGATGACATCTCAAGTGTTGTGAGAATTAAGTTAGGTAATAAAATAAAAATTTGTCAACTATAAATTACCAAGTAGATGTTAATTCATGACAGTAGTCAGGATACTTTGACACATAAAATACCCCTCTCCCCAATACTCTCTAGCAACTTCACTCTTATTTCCATGGATCTTGAACTCTCAAGATACAATAACCATATCCAACCTGAGCTTATTTCCATCAGCAACTTAAGCTGCAGAGATTTTTCCTTGTAAACCGGGTCATCCTCGCAGGTTCTTGGAATATAATTCTAATTTCTACTTCATGTTTCTGCTTGTCTTTTCCCTCTCCTCTGTCCCAATGTATGCACTAGATTCTATTTTCAGTGCTCTCTTTTATTTATTCAAACCCTTCCATACTCAACTCAGTAGCTATCTCCTTGAAGAGTCTCTACTCTATGTTGCCTAATAATACCACCCCCTGCAGTTCATAACAGCACACTCAGTCTTCACCATGTAGCCTGACATTAGTTATACTATTATTCTTTACATGCCCAGCTCCCTGAAGGGACCGACTGAGTCTATATCTTATTATGCTTTTCACAGGGCCCAGCGTAAGTCTTTCTCATTTTCTATACCATTATTGTATAAAAATAAATCTGTAACAAAGAAATATTTAGTATAATTCCAAATCTGTTCCTCCTGGAAAGTTTATCGTTAATCACTTCATTTAAAGGCCTGCAATGGAGCTTACCAATGATCCCATCAAAAACACATGATTTTGGATTAAGCATTCTGTATTGCTTCTTGAATGGCAGTGTCAACTTTAAAACTAAAGATTTGAGTGTATTATCAAAAGTGGTCCAACTTATGAAAACCATAACACATTAAACAGTAATGTTTACGTGACTAAACTTAATTGAAAATAAATCAAACACTTTGCTTTTCAAATGTGTCCCAATATCATGCTCAATCGGACTTGCCCCAAATGGTGGAGTTAGAACTGTGCCAGGGGATCCCAATACAATCCCATCAAGGTGGCATGTACCAATGCCATCTCACTAGTCCAGGTGATCAATTTCAGTTCACAATTGATCACACTGATAGGTCTAAGAGTCAAAGGGATCACATAAACAAGACTAGCGTCTGCTAATACTAACTGATAGAATCAAAAAGGGAGAGAACAATCCATCATGGGAAGCGGGATACACAGCAGACTCATAGAATGGCAGATGTCCTAAATAGCACTCTGGCCTCAGAATCAGCCCTTAAGGCGTTCGGATATGGCTGAAGAGCCCATGAGAGTATTTTAGGCATGGAAAGCCAACACCCTGGGGAAAAAAAAAAAAAAGAAGAAGACTTAAATGACAGATCTCTGCAAGTGAGATCCCAGTAGAAAGAACTGGGCTCCATCAAAGAAGGAGGTACCTTTCTCTGAAGGGAGGAGAGAACTTCCACTTTGACTATGACCCTGTGGGAATAAGATCGAAGTCAGCGAACTCAAAAGGCTTCCATAGCCTAGGCAACTCATGACAAGAGCCTAGGGAGATTACTGACACCATAAACAAGAGTGTCAAATTGTTAAGTCAACAACAGGAGTCACTGTGTACTTACTCTCATGTGGGATCTGTCCTTAGTGTGTTGTCCAATGTGAAGTAATGCTATAACTAGTACTCAAACAGTATTTTGCACTTTGTGTTTCTGTGTGGGTGCAAACTGATGAAATCTTTTTAATATATACTAAATTGATCTTCTGTATATAAAGATAATTGAAAATGAATCTTGATGTGAATGGAATGGGAGAGGGAGTGGGAGATGGGAGGGGTGTGAGTGGGAGGGAAATTATGGGGAGGGGAAGCCATTGTAATCCATTAACTGTACTTTGGAAATTTTATATTTACTAAATAAAAAAATAAATAAATAATAAATAAGTGTCCCAATATAATTTTGAAACAATGTTACAGAAATTTATAGACTGCAACTTTACAGAAAAGAGAGTTTATATTACTTTTTTAAAGATTTATTTATTTATTTGAAAGTCAGAGTTACACACAGAGAGGAGAGGCAGGGAGAGAAAGAGTCTTCCATCCGCTGATTCACTCTCCAGATGGCTGCAACAGCCAGAGCTGCGCCAATCTGAAGCCAGGAGCCAAGAGCTTCCTCTGGGTCTCCTACGAAGGTGCAGGAGTCCAAGAACTGGGCCCATCCTCCACTGCTTTCCCAGGCCTTCACAGAGAATTGGGTCAGAAGTGGAAAACCGGGACTCAAACCAGCATCCATACGGGATGCCGGCACTGTGGCCTGCAGCTTTACCCACTACACCACAGCGCCAGCCCCGACAGGTTCTATTTATTAATATATATAGTGAGTTTGCTATGAGGCTAAGAGTACTTGATAAATACAGAAAGGCTGAATGAGTGAAAACCACTTCAGTTTTACAGATCCCATCAGCAGCTAGATTTTTAGCTCTGAATTTCATGTGTTCATTCACAGATATTTCACGATGTCGAAACTGACAAAGTCATTATTGAATTGTTGAACTGTCCAATCCTATATGACGACGTTAAAGTCAGATTTCTCTCTCGGGTAAGTAATCAAGAAATTACTTCTGCTGTTGTACTTGTTTGCTCTTTTGATTGATTTTGATTTAGGACTTCTATTGCTACAAATCCCAAGAGCAGAGATGAGAGACTTCAATCCGTAACCAGGAATAAGAAAGCATCATATCACTAACATATTTTCAAAAAAGAAAAACACATGTAACCTAAGATATTTTGCTCTTTTTTAAAAAAGTTCTATATAATTCACATGTATGAAGCTCCTTTGTGTTTTTCTAAATTCTACTTGATATATATATATAAACTAATCAAAAAACTCACAAAAACCAAGGAGCTAAAAAAACGTGTTTTTACTACATAGCAGTGACAACTTCTTTGTTTTATACCTTTAAAATACATTGCTATAAACTGAATGGGACTTTGCTTTTCTCGAAGTTGATGCTTATTACAAATAGTATTCATTAACCCTATATTTAACTTAAAATTAACCTTATTTTAACACTATATTTAACCCTATATTTAACTTCAAATAAATAAGAATGCCTTTCATTTTCTTTACTTGAACATATCTGCATAACTTCTACTGACCAGCCATAAATTGTTGTGTTTGCATATTATTCTGCATATAACAAATTTATAATCCTCAATAGTTTTTTATGTTTTTAAAAAACTTCTATTTAATAAATATAAATTTCCAAAGTACAGCTTTTGGATTACAGTGGCTTTTCCCCTATAACCTCCCTCCACCCACAACCATCCCATCTCCCACTCCCTCTCCCATCCCATTCACGCAAGATTCATTTTCAATTATCTTTATAGACAGAAGATCAATTTAGTATATATTAAGTAAAGATTTCAACAGTTTGCACCCACACAGAAACACAAAGTGTAAAATACTGTTTGAGTACTAGTTATAGCATTCACATTGAACAACACATTAAGAACAGAGATCCTACATGGGGAGGTAAGTGCACAGTGATTTCTGTTGTTGATTTAACAACTGACATTCTTGTTTATGGCGTCAGTAATCACCCGAGTCTCTTGTCATGAGCTGCCAAGGCTATGGAAGCCTCTTGAGTTCGTCGACTCCAATCTTATTTAGACAAGGTCATAGTCAAACTAGAAGTTTTCTTCCCTTCAGAGATATAGGTACCTCCTTCTCTGATGGCCTGTTCTTTCCGCTGGGATCTCACTCACAGAGATCTTTCATTTAGGTTGGTTTGTTTGTTTTTTTTGCCACAGTGTCTTGGCTTTCCATGCCTGAAATACTCTCATGGGCTTTTTTAGCCAGATGCAAATGTCTTCAGGGCTGATTCTGAGGCCAAAGTGCTGTTTAGGACGTCTGCCATTCTGTGAATCTGCTGTGTATCCTGCTTCCCATGTTGGATCATTCTCTCCTTTTTAATTCTATCAGTTAGTATTTGCAGACACTAGTCTTGTTTATGTGATCCCTTTGACTCTTAATCCTATCATTATGATCAATTATGAACTGAAATTGATCATTTGACTAGTGAGATGACATTGGTACATGCCACCTTGATGGGACTGAATTGGAATCCCAACATGTTTCTAACTCTACCATTTGGAGCAAGTCCGATTGAGCATGTGCCAAACTGTACATCTCCTCCTCTATTATTCCCACTCTATATTTAACAGGGATCACTTTTCAGTTACATTTAAACACCTAAGAATTGAGTGTTAATTACAGAGTTCAACCAAAGGTATTAAGAAGAAAAAAATAGTAAAAGGGATAAGTATTAAGTTGTTCATAACAGTCAGGTCAAGGGCTGATCAAGTCATTGTTTCTCATAGTGTCCATTTCACTTCAACGGGTTTCCTTTTTGGTGCTCAGTTAGTTGTCACCGATCAGGGAGAACAGATGATATTTGTCCCTTTGGGACGGGCTGATTTCACTCAGCATGATGTTTTCAGGATTCCTCCATTTTGTTGCAAATGACCGGATTTCTTTCTTTTTTTTTTTTTACTGCTGTATAGGATTCCATAGAGTACATATCCCATAATTTCTTTATCCAGTCTACTGTTGATGGGCATTTAGGTTGATTCCAAGTCTTAGCTATTGTGAATTGAGCTGCAATAAACATTAAGGTGCAGACAGCTCTTTTAATTGCCAATTTAACTTCCTTGGGGTAAATTCCAAGGAGTAATCCTCAATAATTTCAATTCATATTCCTATGAAGTCATCAACCAGAACTGCCAACAAGTATGCTGGGCAACTTAAAAGTTATTTCTTGTACCTTCCTTCATCCCCTGCTTGCTGCCTGTTGGAAAAGAATCTTGTAAGTATTCAGATGGTCACTGAGTTGAAACAAGTCTGGGTAGTTACCACACTGGCTGGTGGCCTCCTACCTAATGGAGCTGCTCTAAATTCTCAAACAGTGGTTTCTAAGTAGAAGCAATGGTGTAAAGGTCATTGGCCTAGGGTACTTGGGTAACATCCAGCCTCTGATTATGAAAGCACTCAAAATGTCAGATATTTCTATCATCATCAACACTGTATCATCTTCAATAAGTAGGGCTAACTATTCAGTGCAGCTGTTCCTTATAGAAATGGTTGATATTTGTTGAATATGCCAGTAGTTTGGTCTTGAGGGCTCTCTGGAGGGTGGCTGTAAACTGTAGCCTGCCCTGACAGGACTGCAGGTGAGGTGGTCATGGAGGTTTACACTGTGCTTTTCACAGGATGCTTCATTATCCTGGCAGATGCCTGATGCCTAAGTGCCTGACTGTGAGCAGCAGCTGTGGCTCTCCCAGGAAACCTGTTTTCTTCCCAGAATCTTTTATTTAAAGGATACAAACTTCATGCATTTCATAAATCCAACTTCAGGAACACAGTGATTTATGCCACCATACCCGCTCTGCCACCCACACTCCTACCACTCTTCCTCCTCCCTCTCAGTCCCATTCCTAATTTTTACTAAGATCTATTTTCAATTAACTTTATACCTATCTGATTAACTTTATACTAGGTAAAACATTCAACAAATAGTATGGAAATAAAAGTGTTCCTCAACAGTCAAGACAAAGGCTGTTCAAAGTCACTGCATCTCAAAGTGTCAATTTCACTATAATAGATCACCTTTTAGGTGCTCTGTTAGTTATCACAGATGAGAGAGAACATAAGGCATTTGTATTTTGGGGACTGGCTTATTTCATTAAGTATAATGTTGTCCAGTTTCATCCATTTTTTTTTTTTGCAAATAACAGGAATTCATTTTTTATTCACTTTATTTTTTTGACAGGCAGAGTTAGAGAGAGAGAGAGACAGAGAGAAAGGTCTTCCTTTTCCCTTGGTTCACCCTCCAAGTGGCTGCTACGGCAGGTGCATTGCGACCAGAGCACTGCACCAATCCAAAGTCAGGAGCCAGGTGCCTCCTCCTGGTCTCCCATGCAGGTGCAGGCCCAAGGACCTGGGCCATCCCCCACTGCACTCCTGGGCCACAGCAGAGAGCTGAACTGGAAGAGGAGCAACCGGGACAGAATCCGGTGCCCCAACCAGGACTAGAGCCAGGATGCTGGGGATGAACCAACAGTAAACCAAACCCTAAACTAGTAGAAAAAAGAAAAAACTAAAATTAGAGAAAAAAAAATTCAACAAAATTGAATTCAAAAAACAATACAAAATATCAGCAAACTGAAGAGCTATTTTTGAAAAATAAACAAACTATTGGCCCAGCTAACCAAAAAAAAAGACAGAGTAGACCCAAATCAACAAAATTAGAGATGAAAAAGGAAATGTAACAAAGAAACCAAGAAATAAAAAGAATCGTCATAAGATACCCTAATCCCATGTTGGTGGGAATGTAAACTGGTAAAGCTGCTCTGGAAGACAGTTTGGAGATACCTCAAAAATCTGAATATAGACCCACCATTTGACCCAGTCATCCCACTCCCAGGAATTTACCCAAGGGAAATGAAATCAGTAAACAAAAGAGTTATCTGTACCTCCATGTTTATTGCAGCTTGATTCACAATGCTAAGGCATGCAATCAAAATAAATACCCATCAACCAAAGACTGGATAAAGAAATCATAGGATACATACACTATGGAATACTACACAGCAGTAAAGAAAAAATGAAATTAGTTCATTTGCAACTAAATGGATGAATCTTGAAAACATCATACTTAGTGAAATAAGCCAGTCCCCAAAGGACAAATACCATATGTTCTCTCTCAACTGTGAGAATTAATAGAGCACCTAAAACAAAATCTGTAGAAGTTAAATCAACATTCACTTCAAGAAGGGATGACTTGAGCTCCCCTTATCTTGACTGTCGAAGAACAGTTTTTGTTATTTTTCCTTCATACTTTTTTGAATTTTTTACTTAACAGTTAACCATATATGTATATGTATATATATGTATATAAAGTCAATTGAAAATAGATCTCAGTAAAAAATAAGAGTGGGAATAAGGAGGGAAGAGGAAGTTTGTAACTGTAAAGCTCTATAATTCTGCATATATTCCTGTGGACTTAATTCTAAGGGTACAGTTTAAAAACTTGTCATGGGACTCCAAATCCCATTAAGCCTGATGGTAAAAATCCCATCTTGGTTGTTAAAGTGGTCATATTAAGTGTTAAAGTATATATATATATATATGATCAAGTGCCTGGTAATAATAATAGAATTAAAAAAGAGAATGTTCCAACATGGGAAGTAGTTCACACAGCAGACTAACAGAATGACCATCACTTCAATAATACTCTGACATCAGATTCAGCTCTTCAGTCTTCCTGGTCTGGCTGAAAAGCACATGAGAGCATTTCAGGCAATGAAAGTCAAG